GCTAATTACAATACAAATTTGTCGGGAAAAGTTACGTCTTGAAAATTGTTGTGGCTCTCAAAATATAAGGCTTGATCCCGGTAACACATCATATATCACGTCATTTAAACCTAGAAACAAATAAAAAATTAATTTAATACTAATATAATTTACCTTGAACAAAACACATGTAATGAATTTATATTCAAGCATCGCCATTACTTCATCAAAATATTATTATAAATAAATATTGGATAGTTTACGATTGTTTTTAATAATTATATAGTTTTCTAAATGAATGTGTTATGCATGTTACTTGTATAAAAAATAATCTATAACATTTGTAAAATGTATTTTCATAATAAATTGTATGAAATTTGTAATCACCTGGAAATTATTATGAAAGAGAAAGATCGAGATTTAGAGGTTGAATATATAGAAGTTAAAGACATAAAATTAGCAGTTAATAGAAAGAAATGGAGGGACTAATCTATATATTACTAGCATACAAGATGGTCGAGATTGACTCATCTATGTCACTGACAGTGTTTAGGTGGTTGCATATAACTGCTAAAGCTTTTACATTAATGTCGTCATTATTTCTATGTCAAATGGTCATGTAAGGTGAACTGTTAAAAATGTCACTAAAACAAATATGACAACATGGTTATATGTGGTTGAACACTTAATCTAGCAATCTTTAAGTCACATACGATTGCACCGTAATCAAATTCATATGTACACTTAGAGCTATGACATGAACTGCAATCATAGTTCAGGAAGCATCTTGGATGCTCTGTTGAACGAATTACATAATAAGGGTAAGGTTCAAATCTAATAACAAAATTCTAGTTTCAAACTTTTTTGTTACACACACACACATGTACGTGTGTGTGTGTGTGTTTGTGTGTGCGCACGTATGTATGTGTATGTGTATGTGTGATTATATCAAAAATGAATACAAGAGTTGTAAGACATGTTTTAAGATTTAAGTCATCTTTAAATTTTTGGTGTTATTAGAATATTTTATGGTGGGATGTCACATATTACTCGGTAAAATTTTCATTGCAATCATTGAAATGGTTAAGGGGGTATTGTTTGTCTTGACCACTCGTACACGTCTTAATACTTCAGTATCTTGAAATAAAAACCTAACCCATAACACTTTAGAACTCCATAAAGCTACAAATTTCTCAACAATCATCAACAATATAATGCATAATTCCAATCATTATTACACGAACACGTTATAACACTTTGAAGAGTCTTCTTTGATAGATATCGAGTTCACGTTGTAGGAATCATATGTACATCTACATGCCCTGCTGTTGCTCAATTTCATAAGAGATATAGTCTCGTGACAAAAATGTTCCTTTTAAAAAATTATAAATACAATATAATAATATTATTAATTGCTGGAGGAGTGGCGACCGTGATGGTGATGATGTCGGTAGATTGAGCATTGGGGGTGACAGGGGTGGTGGTGGTGGTCAAATTGGATGGCAAATGTTATTTTCATCCGTTTGAAACCAAATTACAAATTTGTTACATTTCCTAAAAAATTAAATTCCTGTTACTTATGTCAATAAATGATCAAAATATGAAGTTTTTTTCATGAAATTGTTTAATATTGTAAAATTGTTTCATATAATACTTAATGAATTTGTTTTATATATTTCTCTAAAATTAAAATAATAACGATGATAATATCTATGATTAACACCCTCCACAATAAAAATGATTAATCAACCTCTCATAATTATAAAAAAATGAACAAAATGAAAAATTATGATTGATTTAATGAGGTTTGTAAAGTAAATCTTATATATATATATATATATATATATATATATGTCGTTTCAAATACAACTCATCACATTTGTACAATCAATACAACCCAATTAATTGGATATTTATGGAAATGATAAGAGTTCATTTATTATGATTTGAATATTTATGGAAGATGACTATGGTTCATTAATTATGATCAATACTTTATATTAGTAAACAATCAAAATTTTTATAAAATCACATATTCATCAAATTCAATGGACGGTTGAGATTGAATTGTATTGGTTATACAAATATAAAATGTTGTATAATAACTTACCTCTCTTTCTCTATATATGAACATTACAAACATATATATATATATTTTTTATTTGTTTATAATTAATTAATTACAATTAGCAAAAACTAACCTGATGTGGAAAGACAATATTGGACATGGAGAATAAAGTTACCAAGCAATCTGCAAAATTGGCAGATGAATTTATTTTAATCCATGTGGTGAGACAAAGAAAGCTGGATTAGCAAATGACAATTAAGCCATGTTTTGATTTCAGAGTTTTGAGTTGTGGCAGGCAAACTCTGGCTGCCGCTGGGGTATTTTTGGAACTAATCAATCACAAAATCTTGTTTTCCTTTATTATTAAACAAACCAATTCATGGCTGGAAAGTCGATACACACCACCCTCTTTCTCTCACTTCCTATTTTTATTTTTTAAACAAAATCAGTATATTTTATTTGAATGTGGGTTTAAAAATTCGAGTAAGATTCTTAGTAGTTGTCATACTCATCAAGTAAAATAAGTAACAAAATAGTAATTGTTTTTCCAGTAAACATTTGGTAAACGGCTTCTTAATGATATTAAGTGAGGCATAAAAAATAGAAGTAGAAGAAAAAAGGTAGCAAATGTCTCAAAAACTACACAACCCCTTGTGTGATGTAGGACCCTGGTAATTTAATTATCTGTTGGCTCATTAATCCTCCCTTCCAAACGTCTACCTCTCCAACTCAGCCAACTACTCTAATCATGTCATCAGAAACGTCTAAGATGGACAACGTTGCATTAACTTCATGTAATCATCAAATATCTTTGATTCGGTTTGATCCACTTTATTTAATAGGTTAATCATTCACCTGTAACGAACACTAACTAAACCTGATTCAACTGCAATAAGCTAATTTAAAATGTTGGTTAAAGCATGTGGGAAAATGGCTTTTAGTCATCAAGAGAGTGATTTACTGGTAGTCCAACTATGTTGCTTCGGTTGCAATATACCAAAAAATCATATCAAGATATTTTTTATACCATGGCCACATTGCCTTCAAGGATTCGAAAATGGGATTTTTAAGTCTTGAAGACAAACTTACAACAGAATCAATTTTTTGTTATTTAAATCACTCATATTTGCTCTCTGTATATCAACATCTTCCATTCGACGCCTCAACAAACTTTTCATCGTGAACAAACACAAATGACCAGAACACCCTCACACACTAAATTGCTTTTCAAGTAACTAAAGCCAACTAACCATCAAGTAAGAATGACAAATGGTAGGTGTCTATAGGACCATTTTTTTCTATGTTTCACATGGCACAAATATAGGGTGTCAAAAAAACAAATGGTTGACAGATTTTGAAGAATATTATGAAACTTACTTCGAATTTACGTCACATATGCAAATCATACACGTGAAAGGGGTCATAAACTTTTGCAATGTGTTCTTATTGATTATGCTTTTCTGTGTTCTGATAAATATATTTTTTCAGTTTAAACTCTGCATAAAACTGTTAAACTTAAAATTAGTTAGATCAAGACAGATAGATATCAAATAAAGTACCAATTACGAACATGAAAGATATAAAATAAAAACAAAAAACATGGGGAATGAATATAGAATATAAGACATATATCATAAAACGATTCCGTTCCATATCCACGTCATTATGACCGCTAATACAAATACAAGAGAAGAGACAAAACTCAAAAAGAAAGGGGAGGCAATAGTAAGTGGACCGGTGGAGTGATAAGATGAGCTCCGGTCCAAGCGGTCGGGTATTAGATGTAGATTTAGGTATCAATGTGTAGTCTATTTTATTTTATTTTACTTTATAAATTAATCTTTATAATAAAATTTAACCTTTTCTTGGTAAGGTGGGTCGTTATGTTTTGGTTTTATAAGACATATCTTAGATCGGACCCCATGGGGTGAGGTGGGTTGGTTCTTACTCACAATCAATATTATATACATACATACATACATACATACATATACACACACTTCAATAACAATAAGTATTATTTAAATTTAAAGAAAAATACATGGTTTTTTTTATTAGATTATTAAAAGAAATGTTTTATTATGAAAATAAATTCTAAATATGGTTTTTAAAGTAAGTAATATTTGATATTAAAAAATAAAAAATAATAATTTGAATTTATGAAGAAAAAAAAAAGGTGGAACCTAATAATTTGGTAAGAAGGCATCCATCCCCACCAAAGATGGAAGAAATCCAAAGGTTATGGACCAACCATGGCACCATAAATGAAAACCCACTAGCCATACTTCACTTGTTTTGGCTTGTTTGGGGCTATTCATTCATGCAAACCATGATTCATGGTGGAACCAATGCTTATGGCTCCCACCATATATGCCATCACCACCATTTTTGGTCCCATTTCCTAGCTAACATTGTTTTTTATGCTAGATGCAATTTTTTTTAATTATAAATGCTAAATTAAAATCAGAGTTTTTAAATTCATTATTCTGATTTAATTACAGACGAAAGATCATGTGATAATAGAAATTAAGGTTAGAAGTGTAAAAAGAGATTTGAACTATTGAATCTATATTTTTTATTTTATAAAAACTATAAAAACGATGTTATATGTACTCCTGTTTATATTAAAATGAAGTTATATTATGCACCAAAAATAAAAATAAAAATTAGTTTTCATTTTGATTTATAAAAATAAATAAATTATTAAATAAAAATACATTTAACAATACATATTTACGGATTTACCCCACCCTGGATTATAATAGTAACATGTGATCTACATCCTATATTCTTTTGAATACAAAGTTACTTGTCGTGTCCATCATCATGAAACTCTTGATAATTTTCTTATCAAATTGCAATTACACCCCTTATCTTTCTTATCTTTCCAATTTCACCCCCTCCCTCTTCTTGTGTATATATATATGGGGCACAATGTATCTCAACCCAATCTCTCCCACTTCAACCATCTCTCTCTTCCCCATTTTCTGGTTTCCAGCAAAACCATCCGTGACGCCATTAACGACCCACTTGTGTTCATACGACGATTCTTCCACTTTCTCTTTACAAATCTGTAAATCCAATCAAATTTCTAGCAATAATGGGTTTCCCAGTTGGTTACACCGAGCTTTTCCTCCCCAAACTCCTCATCCACATCCTAACCCTTCTGGGTTTCATTCGTAAGCTCATCTCCTTTGTTTTCCGATTTGTCGGTCTCGGCGATTTTCTCGAACCCGAATTCTCAACAGACCCGACCCGGAGCGAACCGGTTACGCACTTCCACTCTGTATCCGCGGTTCTCATCCGTGAGCACCTGCCGGTTGTGAAGTTCTCGGAGCTAGTGGATCCGCCTGAGAGTTGTGCAGTTTGCTTATATGAATTCGAAGCCGGCGACGAGATCCGGCGACTGACCAATTGCCGACACATATTCCACCGGTGCTGTCTGGACCGTTGGATGGACCACGATCAGAAAACTTGCCCGCTTTGTCGGACCCCATTTATACCCGATGATTTACAGGATTCGTTTAATGAACGGTTATGGGCGGCTTCAGGGATCGCCGATTACTACGGCGATTCACCGCTGGTTAGTAGTTCATAATTAGTGATAGAATTTTTATTTTTATTTTTGGTGGGTAGTTCAGAGAATTACACGATGTATATTTTAGTAGCAAAAAGAAAAGAAAAAAAAAGCATATATGGTATATGAAATTTTTGAATTTTCTTTTATTTTAATGGATAAATTTATGATTAAAAATAAAATAAAATAACATCAAGTACCATTATTGCGACAAGTAACACGTTCATTTCGATTAAAATTCCATTTAAACCAAGAATTCACCAAAGAAATTAAAGTTACATACATCTCCCGAATTTTGCTATTTACTTTGCTTAAAATTCCAAAAATGTATTATTGCAATCGGTGTATCTCTGCTAGCATCAACTGTTGAGTGAACCAAAAAATTCTTATTTATATTGATATATTTGAAGACGTATTTTTATATGAAGTCTGTTAAATTGCTAAAAATCAAGTGTTGATCTTTATATCAAATACAATAACTAAACCACAAGGGTGGTGTCTAATTGGTTTGAACTTGGTTCCAAATGTCAAAAGTACCTGAAGGTCGTGGTTATTTTGGGATTAGTCGGCTTACATAGAGAGTTGGATATACAGGTTAATAAAAAAAAAACAATAACTAAACTATAAATACAATAACTAAAATTGTCAAATTCTTATAAAAGCATAAGTTTTGGTTTTATTCAAAAATTCGGAGAAAGTTACAAAAATGTTAGGGTCCTACGACAAAGCAGAGATTGTTGGGTGTTGCTCGGATCCAACCGGTTTAATCGGATCTTATCTTGAAATATGAGACATATATATACACACACCTACTTCATGTGATATAATTGATTGACAATTAAAACATATATATTTTTTGAATGAATTATGAATATATTTTTTTATTATAAAAAATTTCAAATTTTACATTTACATATAATCAAAATTACAGTTGTCTAATTATCTTTATCTATACTATATTATAACATATTTGACAATAATTCTTAAAAATTATTTTTTATACATGAATTACTGTTTATTGATGCATATTACTTAAAATTCAAGATTATAAGTAAATTATGTGTAAGTATAATTTACTAGAGCTTCATTTTTTTAATTTGTTTAACTAACTATAGATAAACATAATCAAATATGGGATAAACATCTTATTCTGAATATACAAAATCTAAAATATAATTAAGATAATCATTAGTTATAACAAAATATTTAATTATTATCTTTATAAAAATTATATTATTAAACGATAAATAAATTACTTCGTTATTAAATCTAAATTAAATTATAAATAAAATATTGAACTAAAGAAATGACACAAAAAACCAGAACTTTAAATAGTAAATTAGATACTAATATCGAGATACTTTTTTTTCAATTTTTTATGATATATTTAAATTTATATTTTATTCAAAAATAAAAACATTATCGCTTTTACAAAATCATTAAAACCTGTATTATATCGACATAGATAAATAATAAAACGAAACAATAAAATTGAGATATATCTCGCTAGATTATGCGAACACCCTTCTAGTACATATTTATATATAAATGATTAAATATCAAATACTAAATTTTCTTGAATTATAAATTTTATTGATTTTTAAATGACCGATAGGTGAGATATAGTTTTAAAAATACAAAACCCATAAAATTTCTATCTATAACTTTCAAGTTTTAACACACACAGATCAACCTGCCATTCTATAATATAGATATTGATCTTCAATTCTTCCAAATTCAGTATTTGTTGCACCCCTACTTCATTTTACATCAGATATGACCCTTATATGTCTTTAACCCAATAAACATTTTAAAATTTTAATATAAACAAATACAACTTATATAATGCATAGTTTGTAAAATATTAATCAATACCAAAAACAAAAATGAGCGGATGCAAAATGATCGAGAAAGGAAGCTCTTTAAGGGAATCCATGCTGCTGAGACACATTCTTTCCACATGTATGATTGTATGTCAAATTCTTGTCTTTTTAAGCGAACGTTTTTGTAAAATTTCTATAACAAGTGAAAACTAGCAGTTCGATGTGACTGATATGACAAGTCAAAAACTTTAAAGACAAGGTGTGTATGGGTCCGAAACTCATTGTTTACCCAAGATCCACCCATAAGAGCACATGTGTCGATGTTCATGAACGATTTGACTCTTTTTAAATGGGTTCACATCCTCATTTACATGATTGTTGAGATCAAGATTTCGAAGAGCTGTGGGAGTTGCAAGTATGCCACAAGATATGCACATCACATGCACTAGATCCTAAGGAAATTTAATGCATGCCAATGGGATTTTCTTTATTGTCAACCAACGTTATTTGAAAAGGATATCATAATCAAACAATTAAAATATTGATTTCGGTAACATGTGTCCATGTTTGGATCTCCCGTCTTCTGGGAAGGGATTTGGGCTGACCAAGTTTGACAGGGTTTATTGATCTGTTATGCTCGTCCTCAGTATTATTTTAAGCGAATAATTATATAATAATTTCTTGTAATTGTATATTCATACTATTATATTCTTAATTCAATCTTGACTATTAAGTAACGGTTGATTCTTTAGTATAAGATAAACCACACTATGAGTCAAAACGCAATAAAGTTATACTTTTTTTTACATAGATATCTATTTGAAGTTAATCATATCATAAAATGAAAAAATTTATCGTAAAAAAAGGACTTATTTGGAAACACGGGTTTTCGGAGAAATTATTCATCCTACAAAAAGTTATAACAATACATCGACTAAACTCTTAAGCATCTCAAAGTATATCCACTCTAGAGATTTAACTGAGTGCCTAACTTTATAATAACAGAACAATAAATAAAATAATCAAATACATAAAAATTAAAATGCACTCGATTGGGACGCTTTGAAATCAAAGCCTTGAATTCTTTTTTTAGAGGCGTAGAGATCACTCGACCTTTTGTTAATCCACTTAAAAGTTTTATATGATAGTATTTATATGACTAAATCACAGGTTGTTCGACGACTTTGGTCGACCAGGTTAAGAGGGGCTCTCTGCCCACACTGGCTACTCTAACGGGAACGTGTAGAAAGGATGTCATTTTGTACTTGTAATAGGTAGAGTAGATAGCGGTACGTATTGGTCAAAGTTATCCGCATAATGTGTGGCCTAGTCCCTATTAATTTAACGACCGTTAACTTTTTATGTTAATTCAAGTTAAATGAACGATATTTTAGCCGTTTACCTATTTTACAAATTTCTATTAAAAATTTGTATGTTGTAATCCATAGAGACCAAGAATGAAATTTACTCGTTACAACACCAAACCACCATGTCATCTTCAACGTTAGGGACAAAAAACATACACACCAAAAAAGCAAAAAACAAAACCAAATCAGAGTTGCAGGTTTTGGTTTTGGTGCTGAAAATGTGAGAGGAAATGGTTGTGGATAGTGGAGATCAATGACGAGCTTGTGGTCGATGTTGATGTTTTGGAGGGAGAAGATTGGTCCCTATGTGCGTGGGTGTATTTATTTGCGAAGTCAAGCATCATACTTATTCCAGTGAACTCTCTCCAGATGGGTTTCAGGAAAATGAAAGTAAAAGAAAATTCACATATGAATTATCAAAAAATTTACTTGAAGATGTATATAAAACTGATGTTATATATTATTAGTATGAGTTAACATATGCATCTTCAAGTGGATTTTAGATTTACTTATAAATCTTTCATTAACATTTCCTTTTTACCTTGTTACAATATTTAATCTTCTTATTTGATATATATAGCACTTGAACCCCAAACCTTTGAGATGGTCAGGATCTATCGGTGGTAACCCAAACACCGTTGGGTCATTGACCCTCATTATGATTAGAGATGGCCAAAAACCGGACCCGGGCCGAGCCTGATCAAAATAGGTCTTGGTCCAAGAATTTTTTTGTAACCGGTACCTATGTAACCGTCCTGATCCCAACCAAAAACACTCGGCCCGTTCTCCAAGTACAAATCCCGGTCCGGGACCAAATAGGTTCCAACTCTTTTTTTTCAAAAATCAATTTTTAACATATAAAAAATCTTGTTTGAATTTTCTTTTGACAATATCTTATTGAAATACATCTTAAAAATCTATAATATGGTTATTCAAATATATTTTAAATATTTTCTATACAAAAATATTATACATGTTTTTATAATTAGGATTTTGAAATTTAGTATTAGTGTAACACCCTAAAAATTTATGATTCGTAAAATAAATAAATGTTAAGGGTTAAAATTTAAAGAGTAAACGACATACGGGATTAAAGTGTCGATACTCGAAAAATATGATTTTATTGCAATAAATAAAATCATTAAAAAAAAAGAGAAATGAAACATTTTGTATTTAATTGATTTGGGAT